TTGATGAGAAGTAAGCAACCTGTATACTCTGCAAAGAAGCTGAAATTTAGTGTGAGTTGGAGGTGAATCAGCTTAGGTCTGTTTTTAGTAGCTGGCACAAATAAGCATTTAGAATTTCATTTTTGTCTTCATGATTTATGGTGTTATTTTTGCTTTTATCTGAAAACTAAAGAGGATTTTGGGAAAGGTGGAAGTTGATAATAAGAAATACAAGCAACTAAGAGATTTTTGTTTTAATTTGCCTACCCCTTCTCATTCAAACTTATTTCTTTCTGATTTTGTTTTTGAGAGCCTCTCACTATCTAGTAGCACCATCAGGGTTATTAGTAGATGATATAATATCCAGACTTGCAGTTTTTCACAGCCTGAGGACGTGTTGGTAAGCATGGAGGCTTAGACTCCTCCAGTGTTTCCTCAGTGTGTAAAGAGTATTTCTGAAAGTTGAAAACCAGTACTGTAACTTACTTTTAGTTTGCAGATTCCATACCTTAAGGGTTTAATGTTAAGTGAGAAGTAAATTCTGCTACAAAAAAGTACCTTAAATTTGTGATGAGTGTAAGTGTTGGAACTATCCCAGTTCTGTGTTGATGGAGGGAGAACTGGGAAAGCAGGGAGGACAAGTGCTGACAAAAACATTTCAGCTTTGTGCTTCTGAGCAAAATTATTATGAATATATGTTTACAAACAATTATAAACAGACTCTGCTACCCTTATTATAAATAACCAAACAATGTCTTCCACGGTTTTCATGAATAATCACTTTAATGAGATGGTGTAGGAGAGAGGAAATGGATAAAGAGCGAGCTGAGATTTTTGGTAGCAGAGTTCCCAATTAGATCAGACTGTGTTCAGGGAATTGTTGAGATCTCGTGCTGTAGCACTTCAGGGAAGAATCTTGTTTCTGAATCTATTGCAATATGTATTTACTAGAAGAAAAATTTTCAGAATTTTTAGAGAATTCTTCTAGTGGAAGTCTTCCTGAAATTATCTCTTGCAGTTGGTATCAGTGCCTCAGTCATAGGGCTTAGCAGGAATTTCTAGTTTGTTTATCTGAACATTATACAACGTTCTTAATTTAAAAATCCATAGCTGTAAGTTCCATATGTGCATCCAAAATTTTGAAGAGTATAATTGATAGTAAAAGAGGAAGGAGTTTTTGCTTTTGCAGTAGTTTAAAATTTTTAAGCTTAAAGATTAATATATGGGAATTATGAAACTTATCAAACCAATCTGTGTCTTCAAGTGAAATTGGTTATGTGCTTCATATAAATGTGATGCAATTTAGCAGTCCACGTGTAAGTTGTAAGTAGCTTTTTTTTTTACTTAGAAAACATATTTGTACAGTTTCAGTTCCTCAGAAAACATCATATATGAATTTCTTTTTGTTTTGCTAGGTATTGTAATCGGTAATAATCGCAGCCTTTAGCCCAGGTCCCTGGTTGTGAATAACAGGCAAGAAACCAAGCTCTCATAAATACTCAGTATTGGCCCTGAGAGTCTGCAAGAAGATATTGGATTTTGGGTTTTGAACCTGAAGGTCTGATATTCTTCCTGGTTACAGGTAGAGATTCCTTTGCTCCTAGAATAATTTCAAGAGGAAGGAAGTTACCCTGTAGTTGTGTCTCAGTATTTAAGCATGAAGCTGGAAATTAGGAACAAGAAAGTTTTTTTTTCCTTTGAGTCTGCAGTTGACTTGGTGTTTAGACAGTTACTCATGTCTTTCTCCCTTTTCTTTTTTGCAATACAAAAATGACTAAAGTCTCCCTATGAAAAAAACAATATTGAAGATGAAAATTGCTGAATGATTTTATTAATCACCTTCATTTTCCTTATCTGTATTGCACTTTCCTACTCCAAAAAAATATCTATTGACAGCCACCATAGTACCTGAGATCATCTGATAAAGAGTTGTTTTGGGGCATCAATAGAATGCTTCAGTTTTATGAGACCTGAACCTGCCTTTTCAGGAGTGTCAATGATTAAACTTGGAATATGCTGGTGCAAAATTAAAAGAGGTACATGTATATAATATATATTAAGATAGAGATGCATATAGACTTTTTTTTTGGTTGTGCACATGTGGACATGTGCAATTACAGTCCTGGATGGAATTATTTATGTTGAAGCTGAAGTTGAATGGGATTTGTAAATATTAAAACTTATAAAGAGAATGCTGAAGGTAGGGAAAAATGCAAGTATTGGACAAATACTTAAAGGTTTAAATAAACTTTAAGATATTAGAAATTCAATTATGATCTCAAAAAGGGGAATTAAAAAAGCTTGAGCTGTTCCCCCTCCCTGTAGCTCTTATTTAATTTCATTCAGATAACATAGCAGATGTGTAAGTGTCTCTGACTCACTACGTTGCTTGTCTGTGTTGAGGCAGATAGCTAAGTAAATGGATACAGCCACATTTGTTAACAGGTATCAAAGGACTAATTTCAGATCTGGAACAAGATCTAAAAGATCACCAAATGAATTAAACTACAAATA